TGGATAAAGAAGATGTGGTATATATATACAATGGAATATTATGCAGCCATGAAAAAACCGAAATCTTGCCATTTGCAAGGACGTGGATGGAACTAGAGGGTATTATGCTAAATGAAATAAGTCAATCAGAGAAAGACAGGTATCATATGATCTCACTGATATGAGGAATTTGAGAAACAAGACAGAGGATCATAGGGGAAGAGAGGAAAAAATGAAACAAGATGAAACCAGAGAGGGAGACAAACCATAAGAGACTCTTAATCTCAGGAAACAAACTGAGGGTTATAGGAGTGGTGGCGGGGAGTAGGAGGGATGGGGTGGCTGGGTGATGGACACTGGGGAGGGTATGTGCTATGGTGAGCACTGTGAATTGTGTAAGACTGTTGAATCACAAACCTATACCTCTGAAACAAATAATACATTATATGTTAAAAAAACAAAAAGAAGATAGTAGGAGGGGAAAAATTCAGGGGGGAATTGGAGGGGGAGACGAACCATGAGAGACTATGGACTCTGAGAAACAAACTGAGGGTTCTAGAGGGGAAGGGGGTGGGGGAGATGGGCTAGCTTGGTGATGGGTATTAAGGAGGGCACATATTGCATGGAGCACTGGGTGTTATATGCAAACAATGAATCTTGGAACACTACGTCAAAAACTAATGATGAAATATATGGGGACTAACATAACATTATAAAATAAAATTTTTTAAAAAGGATATAACATAAAAAAAAATCGTAACAATTAAAAGCCCCTCCAAGAGCTTCCTTTGGTAGCCCCCAATGGCCTGCCAGAAGTCTTTGTGAAAATTAGGAAAAGGTGCCCCCCACCTCTGCAGATCCTGACCCACTCCCAGGGTGTCCAATAGGCACAACTGCCAGAATCATTGGCGTCTGGCAAGGGACAGGAAAAAAATCCCATTTTATTAAATAAATAAACAAACAAATAAATATGTCTTTAAAAAAGAAAAAATTAAAAGCCATGCTACAATAAACATCTTTGTATGTATGTGTGTAAACACAGACACACACACAAATATGCAAATGTATTTGTATACTTTGACTTATTTTTTTTTAAAGATTTTATTTATTTATTTGACAGAGAGAGAGATAGCTAGAGCAGGAACACAAGCAGGGGGAGTGGGAGAGGGAGAAGCAGGCTTCCCGCCGAGCAGGGAGCCTGATGTGGGACTCGATCCCAGGACCCTGGGATCATGACCTGAGCCAAAGGCAGACGCTAACGACTGAGCCACCCAGGCGCCCTTGACTTATTTTTATAGGATTAATTCTCAGGATTCGAAGCCTTGTCACAGGATATTTAAAATCTTATATTTTGAGTGCATCTTGGGTCAGCATAGCCATGGCGGCTCGTGTCCTTCCTGCCTGTGTCTGCCGACTGCCCCTTTGTGCCGCTGCCCGGGGCCCCAAGCTGGCCACAACCGGGCTGCTCTGCATCACCCTGTGTCCCGTGGAGGCCGGGTCGAGGCCTGGGGCTTCCCAGCCTGCCTCGCTGCTTGCACAGTTTCCAGTTATACATTTGTGCCACCGGTTTAGGATGCACCCCCCTCTGACGTTAGAGGGAATCAGGGACCGTGTTCTTTACGTCTTGAAACTCTATGACAAGGTTGACTCAGAGAAGCTCTCAGTAAATACCCACTTTGTGAAAGACCTGGGCTTAGACTGTTTGGACCAAATGGAGATTAGCATGGCCATGGAGGAGGAATTTGGGTTTGAAATCGCTGATACAGTTGCGGAGGAGTTAATGTGTCCACAAGAAATTGTAGATTATGTTGCAGAGAAGAAGGATGTATATGAATAAAATACCAGGCCCCCTTTTTACTCTGAGGGAAGAGTCAAAAGATGCTGGTGTCTGGCAGTGAGAACGCATTTTGGCATTTCTACTGCCTTTGACAGAGTAATTCTTTTTAGACTTGTATTTAAATCATCTGTTTTGCCCTTGGAAAAATAATGTATAAAACAAAAAAAAATCTTACATTTTAATCTATTTTATAACATTGTCTTCCTAAAAGCTTGCTGAAGTGGCTCTCAACAAAGATAGATCATGTTTTAAAGGACTTGCCAAGTTTAAATAATATTCAAATAATAAAATGGTTAAAACATGCATATGTCTGTATGGTAGAAATGAGATATTATTATAATATAATTGTTAATTATTATTATAACCAAAATATCTTGAATAAGTGGAATGGCCCCTTGCCCTACTGAGCCTGGTAACAGACAGTGAACTGAACTAGCAATTCAGAGGTCTCTACATGGATTTGCCAGTCTATCAAATGGTCACTGTGTGGCTGGGTCTTTGTGATCCATTTTTGTGATGCTCCCGTAAGCCTTTAGGAATATTGACTCCAAGTGGCTCAGGTAACCATAGGGTTGCCGCATGTCATTGTACAGTAGTGATCCCATCACAGTGTAGTCTGGGGAAATTGTGCCCTTGGAGTTCTGCAGTGTATAACCTGTACCCCAGTACAGAGCACCTCTGCCAAGCCAAGCAAAAGGGGTCACTTGGAAGTCCTTCCAGTACTCCTTATGGACATCTAATTCATTTATCTCAGGTAACTGATTATGAAACATTAAGCCCGTTTCCCTTCCAGAGCAGCAAAGCAGCTCTGGTGACAGCTCCTAAGTACATAAGAAATGCGTCTTGAGTTCTGTGACATTTTACATTCCCCCTCCTTCTTGCAAGTGACATATTGATTGTACATACATGCAAGGTGACTATATTGTGCTCAGTATTTTGAGCTCATCATCTGTTATCCCATTCTCATTGTCATCCTCGGCCCAGACAGTATCAAATTGGAAGCAGTAGTGTAGAAAATTATGAACAAATCAGAAAAGACTACAGCTGTAAAATGAATCAGGTCATTGCTCCACGTTTAGCACTTCCCCTGATGTAAACACCCCACTCTTTTCTGTGCCCTGTTAGGAGGGTGCTGGGATCATCAGAGCTGAACTCTGACCTTGCTCTGAAGTTAGGTACAAGGTGTCCCTGAGAGCAGAAGATTCTGCTGTCCTGGAAACCGTGTCACATCTTGGAGGCCATGGGGTGGCTCAACAAGGTGTGACAGTGAGGAAGTGGGGATCGGCACATGGTGATTTATGTGGCTGTGAATGGCAATTTCAGTCTTAGAGGGCACCAGGGATGGCCTGTTCCCCCAGGTTTTCGGAGATTCTCATTAATCACACCCCTCCAGGTGGATTTGTGACCAGGGGGATAATGAGAGGATGCCATGTTGCTAGTTGGCATAAAGTAGGCGCCGCTCCGTCAGGGTGGATAATTTCA